GGGGCTACAAAGACAAGAAGTGTAAATATCAGATTGCTAACCATGCGTGGGAATATGACTCAGTGGTACAGCACCTGCGTAGTATACATAATACCCTAGCTTCAATTCCCAGCACCAAGAAGTTAAAATGAAATAAAATAAGCTAACTAAATGAAAAATCTTTCATCTACCTGCTGCAACCCATGTAATTCAGCTGTGTATAGTGCCACCTACAATTCACTGAAATATAACACCTCATTCTCAGATAAAAATAAATTCGCTAATTTTCCTGAGCATAATAAAAATTCTGCAGGGACAGGGTCAGTCTCAGCAATTTAAGGCAACTGTGCCATACTATTAGATGCCATTAAATATCATAGGCTTCATTTTTCCTTCTTCCACTTTATTCACAGTAGTTAAATTTAAAAAGGTACTACTTAATAAATGGTGTTGGAAAAACTGGATATCAACCTGTCACAGATTAAAATTAGACCCTTATCACTCACAGTAGTTAAATTTAAAAAGGTACGACTTACTAAATTTTGCTTTTATATGTAAAACACGCCATCATGTATATGAATCAATTTTAAGAACAAAGAAATAAAGGTGTTCTTACAGTTTGCAACCTAGGAATCAGATATCATATTCCAAAGCAAGTTCTTACTTTAAAATATAAAAAATTATATCACATAAGCTATGAGAAAAGCAGCTGAACTAAAACTAACCATAATAGACAAGAAAATATCTTTGTAGGGAATTATAATACATTTTGCCTCTCAGTGTAGCTTAATTCTGACATGTTACTGAGAAAAATAATGATAAAGATCAATATACTTTTTGAATAAGTCATATATTCCAGGTTGAATACTCATTCTTTGACTTTCTGAGATAAACAATCCTACTTACTTTAATTCTAAAACTATATACTTGAAGTTCAACATATTAGCATACAAATAAAATGAAGAAACAAAAACTTTTTAAAAATTCCACTTTAATGCAAGTAAGAAATAAGCATAAATAAATTAGCAACTTAGTCTTTCAGTTAGTAAAGAACTTGTTGAAGGCATCTATGTATGTTAGAATTAAAAACTCTCAAGATACTAAAAGGAAAGATGAAAGGGAGGGAGGGAGGGAAGAGAAGAGAAGAGAAGAGAAAATAAAAGATAAGAAAAGAAAAAAGAAAAGAAAAGAAAAGAAACAAATTCTCTCCACTTCAAAACT